GAGATTGAAGGAGAAGAGAGAGAAGAAGGCGAGAAAGGAGGGGAAGCAACAGCCTGAGCCTGACGTTGAAACTGGTGTTCTTGAAACGAAGTGATGCGTCTGCCTTCTTCGATCTACCTACCTCGTCGACCCGCCATACGGTTCAGCAACTCCCTCGGAGATCCACGACAAAAACGACACATTAGCCATACGAAACTAGTTTTGGGAGAACTACGACGATCGTCATACCAGCTCGAGCAGTTTCTTTGCTCTCAGCGCGGCTCGTCACCCTTCTCACCAAACTCAATGGTTCTTTGATTAGGACTATACTCCTATCCGCCGCGAATTCCCTTTTTGATACCCCCTTTTTGTCAACCATCATGCACATAAAAACAGTGAGCATGCTCTGCCTTTGGTTCATTACAAAACTGTTTTCACTACTAGCATTGGCTTGATAAGTGTATATATACCATATTTGATAATCCTTGAATGTATAATTGGAAAAATGCATACGATGTTGATGTCGATCGATGCAGTGCTGGTTTGGTTTCGAAGGAAACCTGCAGCGGCATGAGAGCTGTTCGGCCAATCCAAGGAGATGCAATGACCATGACGACAGCGACACATGTATGTATGTAAATGAATGAATGGTGGAAAAGAAAAAGGGCTTCTTTCTGCTTGCTCAAGATCGTGACAAAAATCATAACCAAATCGCATTTTTTTGGTGCAAGGTTAAAAGTACATCAAGACATAACAAATGAGACAGACATTCTTACTTTTTCACGTCCGCGCGAGATCATTTGAAAAAAAACCAAGCAGCCGATTACATCCTATAACCCAAAAGTCAGTAAGTCTGCCCAAACCACCATCACACATATCAAGGAGGTCGATGTGACATCGGGATAAAAGCAACATACCTCTCAACAGGAGACAACCCCAACAACCTCATACCATTATTCAGCACCTGTCTCGCACCATCATACAGCGCCATACGCGCCTTCTTCACCTCCTCCTCGCTACCCACAACCTTCAACACATCATACGACGAGCTCAAGGTATGTGTCATGCGGAACAAGTACGTGAGCACAGTCGCTGGCTCAAGCGTCTTGTTAGCATTGAAGACCACGTCGGGCCACTGCGCAAGCAAGCGGACCAAGTTGACGGCGTGGGTCTCGGTGAGGAGGGAGAGGTTAGCGGAGTCGAGCTCGGCGGTGGAGAGGCCTGATTTGCGCTGCATGGAGCAGAGGCGGGCGTGGGCGTATTGGAGGTATGGGCCGGTGTCGCCCTCGAAGGAGGTCATGGCGTCGAGGTTGAAGTCGTAGCCGTTGATTCTACAAGAAAAGGGATTTTGGGATTAGTATTTGGTGACAAGGAGTTTCAAGTGAAGTGCCAGACTAGTTAGACTCACCTCTTTCCTGACATATCCTGGACCATGACGGAAGTGATGCCGAGGGTATCAGCGACCTTCTCGGGATCCTCGACTTGTTCGTACTTGGTCTGGTTCTTCTTCATGACCTCGTGCATCTTCTCGCCGACGTCCTTCAAGATATCGTTCAGGAACTTGACGGTGCCCTTACGGGTACTCATGCCGCGAACCATACCGAAGTTGACGTGGATGCACTTGTCGGAGATGTCCTTCAGGCCAATGAGCTCGGTGACCTTGAAGAGTTGGGCAAGGTGAAGATCCTGCTGGTTGGCAACAACATAGATCATCTTGTCGAAGTGGTATGTCTCCATGCGCTCCTGGATAGCAGCGATATCACGGGTGAGATACAAGGGAGTACCATCCTTACGGATGACAATAGCCTTGCCGAGCTTCTTCGCGCCGTGCTTGGTGAAATCAACAATGGTAGCACCCTCGGAATCCTCAGAAACACCAGTGTCCTTCATCTGCGCATACGACTTCTTCAAGCTCTCGGCCTTGACCTGGGATTCACCAGAGTAGACGTCAAAGTCAATGTTCAACCGCGCATATGTCTCCTTGTACTTGGCAATAGACAAGTCACGGAACCGTCTCCACAGAGCAAGAGCCTGCTCGTCCTCATCTTCCATCGACTTGAAGTACTTCCTCGCCTTCTCGTCCCAGCTGTCCTCGAGCTTCTCGTTGAGCTGGGCCTCAAGCTCAGTGACGTCCTCGCCCTTCTCCTTCTTGGCCTTGATCTGCTCCCTCAATTCCTTGATGGGACCCTCCTGAGCAGCGACGTCACGGTTGATCTTGACGTAGACATCGAAAAGATGGTTGATGGGATCCTTAACGAGATCCTCCTCGTTTCCATACAGCGCATAGCCGTTGGCGAGGAGACCGTACTGCTTACCCCAGTCGCCGAGGTAGTTAAGCTTGACAACATCCCAGCCAAGGATGGTGTGAAGATGGGCCAAGAAGCCACCGATGATCGTACTGCGGAGATGGCCGGCGTGGAAAGGCTTAGCGATGTTGGGAGAAGAGAAATCGATGACGAGCTTCTTCTTGCCCTTGGAAGGATCAGAGGGGTCCTTGAGACCGAGGTTGGAGTTGGTTCCGTAGGCGGCGCGGGACTTCTGGATCATGGGGAGGACGGTCTTGGTGAGGGGGCCGCCCTTGTAGTAGAACTGGACGTGGGTGCCATGGGGCACGGGCTTCTCGATGAGGTCGGACTCGGGGAAGTTGTCGACGAGTTGCTGGGTGATCTCCTGAGGTTTCTTGCCCTTGATTTGAAGAGAGGGGACCTGGGGGTTGCGACGAGTCGGTCGTTAGCAAATATGCCACCAGTACAACCACAACCAAAACCAACCAACACTGAAAACAAGCAGCACATACAGCGAGGACAAGATCGCCCTTATCAAGTGTATTGGTCCACTGGACTCTAGGATAAACATTCTTCGGATCGAGGCTCAACGCCTTCGCAATGCACTCTGCGACATGAATGCGATACCCGTCGACGGGGTTGATGGTGGGATAGCAATTGGGGTACTCCGCGGAGGGCGTAGTAACGTCATTGATAGACAACCCAGCAAGGGACGGGACAACGTGGTGAGTAGACATATTGGCGGCCTGGCGATGGCTAGCTATGCGATGATTGCGATGGTGATCGGTGGATATGGCGGTTGCGACGACGGTTGGAGCGAGCCTTGAGATGGTCGAGCTGCGGGGATATAAAGGGTCTCTAGCAACACAGCGCGCACTTGCGAGAAGGATATGTCGCATGCAGTGGATCAAGCCGGGTCAAGCTGTACTTTCAATCTTTCTTCGTCCTTTTCTCTGCGCTATTCCACCTTGCGTGCTGCGGAGAAGTCGAAAACCAAAAAATTTGGGCGCTTCAAGTGAGTCATTTGAAGTGAGGTTCGGGTCACATGAATTGATTGATAAGATTAGATTGAAATATATTGGATCAGATTAGATTAGATAAGATCGTTTCAGGGGCTGCATCATCAGGTCACCAAGCAGCCCGGATGGAAGTCTGCATCGCATTACAGTGCATTCCCGCTCAGTCAAGAATCAAATGTCACAAGAAAACCCGCCGATCATCATCTAGATGACCACCACAGTAACCATCACCAGGAAGACACCCAAAAACGTAGAAACAGCCATAGGCAACGACCCCATGCCTGGGCTCGCAGCACTGACCTGGTCAGGAGCTGCCGACGGGAGCGAAGGGCCACCATTACCGCCGCCACCAGGACCGTTGGAAAAGCCACCGGAGCCATCAGGGTCATCGAGGCCAGGAGCCGACGAAGGAGCACCCGTGCTGACAACGGCGTTGCTTGCCGTGGGAGCAGACGTCACTGTTTTTTCCTGCAGAGGCGAAGTGCTGTTCTGTTGTAATGCGGTGCTGCTGCTGCCACCGTTACTGCAGAAGTTTGCTGCGAGGCCGGCTCCTGGACTTGAAGATAGGTCGGGGAGCATGTTGGCTCCGTTGGCCTTTGAGCAGTTGTAGCATCTGATTGATGCATAGTCAGCGTCATGTCTTTTCATTATAGGATATCTTAGGAACATACTTGGCCAGCTCTCCCATGAAATCAGCGTTCTGACACAGACATCCTCTAACCTTGGATATATCTGGAGGATGAAACAATTGCCCATCTGACAATCCCTTCAAGCCGCCCTCGACAGCACATTGCAACAGGGTGCTTGCTGTTGGGAAACATGGCGTGCTCATTATCGGCACGATCAATTGGAAAAAGTTCCCTATATCGAACAGATTTTGGAACCTGCTCGGGTCCAAACCAAAGCATGCTTCCGCCCAATTCCCAACGTCAAATCGCTTCGCCAAATCTCGCTTGGAAAGCATGGCCTCGAGGGAAAGGAGGTCGCGTTGGTGAAGTTCGCCCAGTGGTGACGTTGCGGAAAAAGCACATTGCGTCAACGACGCAAGCCAGATGATGAGATGAAAACGCATGGTTTTGATCCAATCTCAGAGTGTGGTCTGCTATCATCAACTGCACCTCCAATATAGGACTCGTTTCCTTGCCCAGATTGTGCCAGTGATGGATATATCCTAGACATCAAGATCGAAGAGCAAGATCCCATGCGACTCGGCATCTTGCTCTATTTAACAGCGAAAAGCAATAACTCCACGCAGAGTATCTTCACGACGTATCTGCAATTGTGCTGGCAGCAGGTACCCTTGCATTCTTTCACACTCTCGAAATCCCAGAGGCAGGTTTTTTTCAAGTGCAGTGCAGCGCAGCCGAAGGACTCGTTCAACGTTCGGCTGCGGCATCTCTGTGCTGAAGCCAGATCCCGCGGTCGAAGGTAGCACCCCCTCTTGCGAGCAGCCATGCTTGCGAAAAGCCACGCTCCATCTTCGTCAGGGACTGCGTTATCAGCGTCTGTCTTCGTTTCGCTGCCATTGTATGACGACGAGGGGGGGTTCTGAGCCGAGATATGGACCATGACGCATGCATTTTCTTGCAGAGTCGAGTCCGTTCACATGGTGTGTGTGATGTAGGCGGCTTCACAGGATGGTTTGACGGCTTGCATAAAGCTTGGTGTGGTCAGGGAGAGAAAAAAAACAAGGACAGATCAGATAAAAAAAAAGATTCACCCCTACCCGGACTCGAACCGAGAATCTTTTGATGACAAGATTAGATGTGTAGAAGTCAAACGCGTTAGCCATTACGCCATAGGGGTTTTGCCTTTTGATTTACTGCAGTGATAGTATAATAGTCTAAGTAGTATCAGGCTCGAGAATTTCGAATTTTTGACATGTGCAGATGGCATTGACGATCGACGGGGTTGTTGGAGGTATCAAAAAGGATTGAGTGGACATATATGAACCAACAGGCAGGGCAAAGGGAAGACGAGGGGCGATCCGGATTGTGATATCAAAATCAAATCTTCAATCCTCCATCCATTCGGGCTGGCGGCCCCGAGTATACATTGGAAGATAAGATCAACATGAGTCAATGTCAAAAAGCAAAAAGGCATGGAAGTTCGGCAACGTCAGGCGCCCATTGAAGAGGCTGACCAGTGACGGGCGGGGCCTTGAGCCCAGGCAGAACCATGACGATGTCGATGTCCAGGGCTGTTCCACACGGTGACTTCATCTGATAAGCCCGGACACGGACAGCCTGCTGCTCTCACTTACATGCATACATACTTGCAACATATCGATCTTCTTTTCAAACTGCTAATCCCAGCTTGAAATCAAACAGTCGTGTCACTTCAAGTTGTTTGCCCCGTCAGTCAGTCAGACAGTCTTGCTGGTCCTGACCAGCTCAACTTCTACACGCTGCAGGCCGTTTCATCGACAGAACACGATGATGTCTTCTCCTCTAGCAAAAGGTGTGTGTGGTGAACTCGGGTCCATGGGCTTCCTGCTTGCCAAACTTTATCCAGGGTCCAATCTTCCCTCTATATCCTCTGGCCTGGCCATATCCCTCTCCTCGTTATTTCCTTGGCTTTTGCCGCTTCACTGCCCTGCACTGCACCGTTCCAAAACGTTTGATCCCAACGTCAATTCGTGGAAGCAACTTGCTGAAAACATGCCTCCTTCCGCAATCACAGGTCTCATCATCGGAACATCGGTGGCCATCGCCGCCACAATCGCAGTCCTCGAGAGCCCGCAGGTCCGAGAACTCATCAGGAAAGGCCGCCGCAAGCTCGCGGAATGGTTGCACGCTCTAGGGGATGGTGTCAGTCCGGAGGAGAAGCGCAGGATCCTCGAGCTGCATGATATCTCCATGACGGAGGAGAAAGGCGAAGAGGCGGAGCGGCGGCGCCAGCGGGCTCGGGAGGAAATTATACAGCGTGCTACGGTGCTTGAACGGCGGAGGAATAGATTCGTGGGGCCGTCGACTTCTGATTCACCTTCTTATTCTTCTTCTGTATCTTGCCTTCGCCCGGCGACTAGCTTTGATGGCTTAGTGGACAAAGACGGAAAACTAATCTCTCGCGATGACTACAAGGGTGACAAATATGCAACTCGTGCCATTGAGGCTTCCTCGACGGCACAGTCTACAGGTGTCGATGTGTCTGGTGCCATGGAGCAAGTGCAGCGTCAGGAGGCCGTTGAACGGCACTCAGCAACACCAGCGGCGGCGGCGGCGGCGGCGGCAGCAGCAGCAGCAACTGTTGCGGCGCCAGGCATTGATCATATAATCACTGACCCATTTTCCGATCTGGCTATTGTTGATGAAGATCCGGCTGCTGAGCAGACGAATGTGCAAGAGAAGGAGCAAGAGCAAGAACACGAGCATGAGCACGATTACGAAGATGAGCACGAAACCACTGGCTTCATGACCCCAAGATCAGCAACAGCAACAGCAACAGCAACGCCCACCGGCTCTGCTCCCGCTACACCACGTAACAGGGAGCACATCCCCATCCCTGAAAACCTGGAAATCCCAACCGGCTCCTCCGCACACTGGAGCGAGTCGTTTGCCAGTGCCGATGATGATGAGGCCCAGAACCAGAACCAGAACCAGCCGGCCAACAACCTCTCCATTGACGCACTCAGGGAGCACGAGCGAAGCGATGTTGTTGCACAGTACCCGTCGCACGACGACGAAG